CAACCAGTCTTCACTTCGAAGGCGTCACTCAGCTTCCCAGTGTGAATCACTTCGTATGTGACGTAGTCATAGAGCATATAGCTGGTGTTGAATGAAGTTGAAAAATGTTTGTGACAATAAGACGGTGGTGTTGAAGCAGGTGCCTGTCAAATAATTTATCGGCGTTGTCGATGCTACTGAAGGAAGGCGTTTTGCAGGTGGATGAATTTGAGGTAGAGTTGAGTTGAGTTGAGTTGACTATCATTCTATATTCTGTTCTATGATGATGAGTAGCATAATGTAATGTTGCAATTTGATCCGCACATGATTTGTTTCTCCTGAAGTCAGTCAGTCAGTCAGTCAGTCAGCCAGCGAGTCAGTCAGTCAGACAGTCAGTCTGTTTCGGTTGTAATTTTGAGACGAGAGCATGTTTTATTCTTTCCACGATGGTTCGGCCTAATATTTAGCATGTTGTGGACAGCAGCATGATTCCGAGCCAGTTCTTGTTATTGGAAAGATTTAGATTACCGTTGTTTGGAAGTCTGACATAGTAGTCCTTGTCCCAATCGTCAGGTACCTTTACTCACTTCCTTGCCTCCTTCCAAATATTCTGAAACAGTAGTGTCAGCATATCGGCTATTGTCTCTGTGTGTGTTTTCAATGCTTCAGGAGGAATTGCATATTAAAGATGATGAAAATACTGAATAACCTGCATCATAATTACCTTTTACTGAACTCTCTCACAGATATCTTTAAATGGTTGTAACATATCTTCGAAGTTAGTACTGAACATTTCAACAATCTCTGAAGTCACTGATAATTGTTATGGTCTGTTCAGAGTGGAACTATATGTTTGTAGAGTGGTATGAAAGAAATGGCTAATATGAATATGCATTTTTTATGTTTTCTGGTATATTTTCAAATAGAATAGTGTTTTTATTGACATTTATAATTTCTCGTTGTTTTGCTGAATCCAACAGATCGATCTGTATTGACAGATGATGCGTTATACGAATACCTCAACATCGCCAAATTATTAGTCGTGTTTTAATTTGTTTGTTAACCTAGTGGATAACACTGTCATGTTTTAAATTGTGGTTGTGGGGTAGGAGTCTCTGTATGAACAGAACCACACATTAGGATGGATATATATATATATATATATATATATATATATATATATATATATATATATATATATACGGAGCGATGCAGACTAGGTGGTTGGGGTCCGCGGGACAAGAGGAACCAGTGGTTGAAGACTGACTTTAGGTGATCACATGGCTCAGAACCGATGTCAGTGGTGCAGATCTATCCCCACACACGTTATCCTCATCTTAACACTATACCGATTCTTACCATTTTGCTATTTTTCTTATCTTCATTATCTTCATCTTTCACCTCACTACCTTTCTGCTTGATGTACTGATATGAGCTGTGGCAACTCAGACCGTTACGCAGTAATGCCTGGTCCTATGTTGATATATATATATATATATATATATATATATATATATATATATATATATATATATATATCATTACCGAGTCTTAAATGGAACAAAATGCGCGTTCTAGATTTCAAAGCCAGCCAGCACCAAGTTAACTTTAGAAAAACCTTTACATTAGAAATATTTAGACTGCAGTGGTTACAAATGTGAAGCCAAAAACTAACCTCCGAGTTTTTGATTCCGTCAGTATAAGAGTATATTTTAACATAATCATAGCGTATTCAGAAGGTGAAAACTTTATGTGTTCAAGTTATTGGTTTGGTGATTTGTGGATCAAACTGACTAATGTTGAATAGTCATCATAAGGTTTTTGATCATAAGCATTCTTGATTTATATATGCTTCTTATGTAAGTACATAGTTTCAGTATTATGGACATGCACTGTGCATAGCAAGCCACAGCCTACCCTAACGTACCATGCTGGGATAGGATGGATTAGATTGAAAGAAGACTCATGGTAGCCAGACAAAAACGTGGTACCAGTCGATGAAGTCTCTTACTTTTCGTCTAAGCCATATGTGGCAATGTTGACTATCTGGTTGGGTCACCGAGAAGAAAATAATCAGTGGATGAGGATTCTTGGAGACGTGGTTAAAAGAATCAGTCACAGTAATGCAGCTGTATTTACTCCTTGATCTTTTCTAAAGCCTGAATATTTGTACTAACCTTTATTCTCACATTGTTTATTCTCTCACGCTACTTTATCTTTTTTGATGTCATTCTTTTTATATCCAACTATTCTTTGGGCACTACTGTGAATTGTGGCAAGTTGAACCGATACACTCGTGCACGAGGTTCTAGTTCGTTTTTGTAAGACAGTTTCAATAGGAAACATGTTGATGTCATAGTAGAGAGGTTGAAAAACTACTCAGCTACCTTAAATATAAACACGGAATTTGGACAGCTTTTTCATCCTAGTGTGAAATTCATCAGCCGTGTGCATCAGTGACTCCGCCAGGGAAATATGCACGATTTGATTCTGACCCAGTGGCTCCATTGTAACGTGCTGTCCACAGGAACTGACGGCCCTGGGTTCGAGCCCTGTTTTCAGTGTTCTTTCAGCTGATATCATTCCATGATGAATATCAACTTGAAAAAAACTGTGAATAGATCATCCATCTTAAAGTTAATATATTCTTTACTTCTGACCAAGTGACTAAACATTTGTCTAATATAATGATGCTAGATACGTAGTTATTTTGTTTCAAGACATGGAACTTTTAATCCATCTGTTTATACTCTGTGATATGTCGTCACCTCTGAACCCTAATCTGATAACAATCCACTTTTTCTTTACCGTATTGTAATCATTCATCCTTCTGTTATTAATAAAATTTCCTGTACCTAGGAGAAAAGTCAGTTTTCTTTAGAAAATGTTTATCGTCATCCCTACTGTAATGCAGGACACAATTTTTGGTCATGAGATATTTTACTTGCTATTTGGAAACTCATGTATAATTTCACAATTAGTTCAAACCTCATCGTACTATCTACACCAAGAGGCAAAATATCTCTAAGGCACATTCTTTAATTGAAGTCCTGAAATGGTGGAGAATATTTGTGAATCATGTGGATGACCTTGGTTGTATTGTGTTCTCTGAGGGGCGTTGTTTAGTCGTGGAGCTTCCATTGTCTTTCTAGACGATATCATCAACACTAACTTCAGTATGAAGTCAGCTGTCAGTATCTCTCCATAAGTGATTCAGTAGCTTTCCCCGACGAACTGGTTTATGATTGGTTGTTTCCTTTGATTGATGTGTTATTGTCTGACTACATAGATTTTGCTGTTGGCTGTTTCTCTGCTTCACCTCTGACCTTTCTGTCGTTTATCATTTTTCTTACTGGTTGATAGATTGGGTCTATGTGTAAACATCTAATGATTGCTGACTGACTGATGTGAATGTCAAGCTTCTAGGAATTCTTTGATATCTTAAATAAACTAACACTATATCTTTTATCTACAAATCTGTTAGGGTATGTCCCACATTCAATAAAATAAGGGGTTAGAATATTACCCAACTTCATAAACAGAGTTAGTTGAAGCTGACATTACATCTTGCTACTACTTAGTTAAAGGTTAAATTCTTAAGTTAGTAAATCAAGACCTATTAAGATTTCTTACTAGATGAGGTAAAATTGTGCTCTACAGACGGGATTAAACTTCTCAGTCAAATTAAAAACAGTAGCTTGGTTCACATGTATTTTCGCCAGCAGTTTCACTTAACTCGATAAATATTATTTACATTTATAGTGGTATATGTACGAATGATTCTGATGATTAGCAGATTGAGTCTAGTCCATCAGTTATATATCTTATCAAAACCAAAGATGAATTCTATGCATTCATTCATAAACTTTACTTTCAACATTGTGACAGTACTTTTTAATTTATTACATAACGATACATCACCGGAGTCCCATATTCAAAAACTTGAAACAGTTGATCCCTTCATTAATAGTCAAGCAGTTTACTTCCTTGTACTAGAAGATGAAGTTTATCTGAACAATGTGTGCTGTGATTGTGGTAATAAGTTCTGAACGATCCCATCGCATATTTACTTGTCAACTCAATTCATTTTAAAACGAAGAAATAATCGGAAAACAAAAACAAAGACTAGCAAAGGTGATTCCAACCTTGATAGGAAAACAAAGTTTATCAAAGTTCATCAGTTACGCATACCTCAGAATCCACCACTAACTGGTTCTAGACACAACTTGGAAAACTGTCTCAGCATTCATTTTGTGATGTGGTTGAATAATATGTTGAGCTATAAACGAAGATGGTCATCTCTCATCTACCCTTATCATGGGTTCACATATCCATGTGTTTTCGAAGATATCCAGTTTCATGTTCTCTCAACTTCAAATGCATTGCTCGATTACTCCTCCTTTTGTATATGTGACCACACAGAAACATGTGTCAACTGGTAGACACAGTTGGATGTGATGTATTCATTGATGCAGTGTTTAGGTTTGTGGTGAAGCATCAGTATTGCTGCATCCATAATAATAAGATTAGGTGCATAGTAGGTTTTCCTGATGACTGGTGTTAGCTGAAGTCTCGAAATCATACTATTCAACTCCACTGTGTATGAAAGAGTGATGTGGAGGCTTTTCTGAGGAACAATGTATAGAGTTGGCTTTGAAGCTACCTATCTTCAATAGATATTCGTTCTCTATGAGTGTTTTGGTCAGTAATTTAGTATCTTCATGCATCATATCTGAAGTAAAGATACGATTAGGTATGTCACATTTCCTTTCTTTTCTCATCTCTCTTAACTTCAATAACCAATTTTTGTATTGCACTATTTTTCTTCTCAATCATTGTTTCGTTTTATATAAATTGACTTGACAAGTAAATGTGTTATCAGATTGTTTACATACACTTTGTCTAATGTGATTAAACTATCTTAATTGTTACATAACGATAATTTATCTTCAGTTTTTTTTCCACCTATAAATTTACACAATTACACGCATCAGTATACTTTTTCATTGTACAATTTCCAGATTCAAAATGTGAAAAGTCTTGATATCTTACACATTCAGAAGAGAATACCTTTCATTACCAATGAATTTGATAAGGATTCACACAAAAAATTGAAACAAGTTAAACTGCCTGTAGAAATGCGCACCAAGGTGAGATTATTTATACATGTATGCATTGAAAAATTTATAAATTTATATTAAAACATATATTGACAAATGGGGCTCTGTTCGAATAGCTGGATATTGCCTGCTATGATGGATATCGTGGCTCGGTTGTCTAGTGGATAGCATTCTGATGTTTGAAGTGATGGACCACAACTCCCAAACCTAGTGAGAACAACATCACTCACTAGGAGGTAGGCAGGTATATCCAGCTGACGAATCCTAAGTGGGAAGAAACGTGCCTCCTGAATACCTTTGTTAGCCACTATTATTATTATTATTAGTCCCTTGTGTTCCTGATGGAACATAGGGCTTCAGTATCACGTCTCCAGTGAACTCTGTTCTCTCCAATCTTTTGAACCTGGCTCCACGACAGCCCAGAAGCTCTCATTTCCTCCTCACACGATCTCCTCCATGTCATCTTCTCCTCCGATACCCAACTCGTCGCTTCCCATCTGGGTTCCACTCAACGGCCTGGCCTGGCTCTTGATGTCCCCAGTCGGCCTTCTTAGTGTATGCCCATTCCATCCCCACTTCCACTCTCTCCTTTTGCATACTTGTTGACTGATAGGTTCATGGTTGGTTCGTTGCCTGCCAGTCAGCCAGCCAGAGTTCCTTGTTGCTTATTCTTTCTGGCCATTTGATCTTCAGTATTGAGCCAGCGTAAGCAGTTGTTGATGAATGTCTGTAGTTTATTGGAAATCCCTTTCGTGACGTGCCAAGTCTCTGAACCAAACAGAAGCACTGACTTGACGTTGGTGTTGAAAACCTGGATCTTGTTCCACATGTTGAGTGCAGAAGATCTCCACATTGGTTTCAGGCTAATGAACGTCTATCTTGCTTTTCCGATTCTGACTTTGACATCCTCGTTTGTGCCTGTGCCGCCTGGAGTTGAAACAGTGCTTCCTAGATAGGTGAAGAAGGTTACTTCCTTTAAGTTTCTCCCGTTGATGATGATTGGAGTTTGTTGTTATTCTTGGAGTTGTTGGTGCGGTATCTTCATTACCTCTACCTCTGTCTTCTCTATATTCACTTGGAATCCCGTCTTCGCTGCCCTACCTCTTCTGCCAACTTGTTTGTCTTCGCATATAGATCATCAAGTTTGTGTGACATCAGACACAAGTCATCGGTGAAATCCAAGTCTTCTAGGTTCTTTTCCACAGTCCAGCCAGCCTATCCCCGTCTTCTCGTTCCTCACTGTTTGCTGCATGATCCAGTAGACCACTATCAGGAATATCATGGAGGATAGTAGGCAACCTTGTTTCACTTCTGTCTTCACTTCAAAAGCATCACTGAACTTCCCATTGTGAATTAATTGGCATGTGGCGTCTTCATATAGTTGTTGAATGAGATCGATAAAGGTTTGTGGTATTCCGTAGTGTTGAATCAACTGCCAAATTACTTCTCGGTCGACACTGTCAAAGGCCTTCTCAAAGTCGATAAGGTTGAGGTGAGGTGTAGAGTTGACTGCCATTCTATGCTCTGTTCTATGATGATGTGAAGCGTTGCAATTTGGTCGGCACATGATTTGTAATTCCTGAAGCCAGCCAGCCTGTTCCGGTCGTAATTTTGAGTCCAGTGCATCCTTTAGTCTCTCCAGGATGATGCGGCTTAATATTTTGCTTGCTTTGGGTGGACAGGAGAGTGATTCCTTGCCAGTTCTTGCAAACACTGAGGTCTCCCTTCTTCGGCAGTTTGACAAGGTAGGTCTTCTTCCAATCTGTAGGTACCTTCTGTTCCTTCCACACCTTCTGTAATAGTGGTGTGAGCATTTCCGCTGTTGTCTCTGCGTCTCAGTGCTCTCAGTGCTTCTGGCGGTATCCCATCTGGTCCTTCTGCTTTCCCGCATTTCAGTAGCTTTATGGCGTTCAGGACTTCCAATTGTTAGCCACTATCCATCATAAATATTGAGCATGAATATTTTCACATACTTAAATAGGATATTCGCTTTAGGAATTTGAGCATCAGGTGAATCATTCAGCGACTGTATGTCATACTCAGCACTTAACCATTTTTATCGATAATGTGAAGATACAACCAAACAGATTACTGATGAAACAGAACAAGAAAGAATGCACCACACACCAGTAAAACAACGAGAAATTATAAGTGTCAATAAAAACACTATTCTATTTGAAAATATACCAGAAAACATAAAAAATGCATATTCATATTAGCCATTTCTTTCATACCACTCTACAAACATATAGTTCCACTCTGAACAGACCATAACAATTATCAGTGACTTCAGAGATTGTTGAAATGTTCAGTACTAACTTCGAAGATATGTTACAATCATTTAAAGATATCTGTGAGAGAGTTCAGTAAAAGGTAATTACGAAGCAGGTTATTCAGTATTTTCATCATCTTTAATATGCAATTCCTCCTGAAGCATTGAAAACACATTCAGAGACAATAGCCGATATGCTGACACTACTGTTTCAGAATATTTGGAAGGAGGCAAGGAAGTGAGTAAAGGTACTTGACGATTGGAAGAAGGACTACCATGTCAAACTTCCAAACAACGTCAATCTAAATCTTTCCAATAACAAGAACTCGTGCGTAATCATGCTGCTGTCCACAACATGCTAAATATTAAGCTACATCATTCTAGAGAGACTAAAACATGCTCTCAATTCGAAATTACAACCGAAACAGACTGGCTGACTGACTGACTGACTGACTGACTGACTTCAGGAGAAACAAATCATGTGCGGATCAAATTGCAACATTACATTAAGCTGCTCATCATCATAGAACAGAATATAGAATGATAGTCAACTCTACTCTACTCTACTCTACTCTACCTCAAATTCATCCACTTGCTAAACGCCTCCCTTCAGTAGCATCGACAGCGCCGACAAATTATTTGACAGGCACCTGCTTCAACACCACCTTCTATTACCACAAACATTTTTCAACTTCATTCAACACCAGCTATATGCTCTATGACTACGTCACATACGAAGTGATTCACACTGGGAAGCTGAGTGACGCCTTCGAAGTGAAGACTGGTTGACAGATGAGACAAGGTTGCCACCTACTATCATCACCGATCATCTTGCTGATTGTGGTTGGCTAGAGTGTAGTGTAGTGTAGTGGAGTGGAGTGGATGATGTAGCAAGCAAGTGTGGGGAGCAGTGAGAAGGTGAGCATAGGCTATTTGACCGATGGGATGAGAAGATGCAGGAAGACGATTTGTATTTATTCTATGATGATGATGATGATGATGATTTATGTCATATGTGTAATGTGTTGTTGCAGGGGGTGGGAGATATTTAGGTGAAAACTGACAAGTTTTTCGAAGAGGCATGGCAAGGCTGGGTGTGGCGGTGTGTGGCAGGGCAGGGCAGGGACTTCGTTCAGGTGAACTTAGTGAGGACAGAGATGATGAAGGTCTTCAGCCAAATGCGACGACAACAACACCATGAAAGTCATAATTGGAAAGACAGCAAACAGGCCTTCGCTAATTTTAAAGGTTCGGTATGGAGATCTACTGCACTGCGCTGCACTCACGACAAACAACAAGATCCAGATTTTCAGCACTAATCCATTGAAGTCAGTCCTTGTATGTAACGGTTCACAGACTTGGCGCGTTATGAAAAACATTTCTAATAAACCGGAGGCATTCATTAACAGCTGCCTACGTTCGATACTGAAGATCAGATGAGATGACCAGAACGAATAAGCAACAAGAAAGTCTGCCCGCTGGCAACGAATCAACCAAGAACCTATCACTCAACAAATATGCAGGAGAAATTGGAGAAGGATTGGATCGAGCACACAGTGAGCAGACGGTTTGGGGACATCACGCGTCACACCAGGCCGTCGAGTGAAACCGCAGCGTGAGACGACGAGTTGAACGCCAGAGGTGAGGGTGACATGAAGGAGATCATGTGAAGAAGTGAAACTTATGGGCAATCATGGAGCCAGGTTGAAAGAGAAGATCACAGAAGAGAGTGAAATGATGATATGCCACTGAAGATGTATTTTCCACCTGGAACCAAAGTTCAAAATAATAAAATATTCATAAAAAAATAGTCTGATTGGAATTTAGCTTTACAAACACGTAGAGATTGAAAAAAAGGATGTATCATCAAAGTGGAATTTGACTGTTCGTTTTAAGCAAACAGCTGATTTATAGAAAGATAAACAGAAATTGCTGGCTACCTTTTTCATTTAGTAGTGTGAATGACACTAGCAGTAGTAGTAGAAGAATATATTGCAAGGTCGCCTCACGTTTTTATCAGAAATAACAACGGAGTCTAGTGACGCGCAAATGTAGGTGGTTGAGAATATTAATGTAGGTTGCAGAATTGCTAAATAATTCGTCAACCACGTGGCTTTGTTATAGGTGCTAATGAGTTAGTTTAGCTATTGAAATATAGCTGACCTCATGAAATTTTAATTTAGATTTCGCTTAGCTTTTCGCTGAGGTCTTCAGGGAAAACATGATCTTGAAGAGCTAAAAAGTAGTCAGAAAACACACATAAGAAGTGTCATATCCGTTACAGCATAATAGTAAGATAATACAACCGAACACATATATGGTTCTCAGGGTAGTACTCATCACGGACTGATATCAAATGACGAACCACTGAAGACCTGGAAGCAGTAGACACTTGTTTCGTCCTAGGATAGGACTCCTCAGCAGTGAGCACCCACCACTTCATCAAGAAAAGGATACAGAACCTTCAGTTGTCGTAGCGAGCAAGTTGTTATTCAGCAATCTTGTCAAAATCCAATGGTTCACATTTCCTACTTCTTTCAGTTCACGACACAACATGACCGTTTACCATGATCTTCAGGGAGTATTCGCTTCATTACTGACTGGATTGACCTCATAGATTATGGCTTCTCATATGAACCTTGGAACATCTCTTTCCAAACATATCACCAATGAACAATAGACGGTAGTTAAGTCTGGAAAATTTCAGGGACTGTTTGATTTAAAGGTAGTATTCATCACTGGCTAACATCACCTGGAG